ATGGCCGCTACCACCACCAAACTAATACTGGTTACTGGGGAAGAGCTGTTTGGACGCGTCTTTCCCCCCAAAATACTTCCCAAAACCTTGCACCCCACTTCCTGGACAAGGTTTGGTAAAAAGCCTCACCAATTTGCCTAGGTGACTACAGACCCAGACCCTTGGATCTTAAGAACAATGAACAATCCTCCCAACACTTGCACCCCCTTTCCTGGGAAATGTTGGATTAAAAGCCTCACCAATTTGCATAGGTGACCACAGACCCAAACCCTTGGATCTGAGAACAATGAAAAAGCATTCAGTTTTTTACAAGAAGACTTTTAATAAAAATAGCAGTAAATAGAAATAAAGAAATCCCCCCTGTAAAATCAGGATGGTAGATATCTTACAGGGTAATTAGATTCAAAAACATAGAGAACCCCTCTAGGCAAAACCTTAAGTTACAAAAAAGATACACAGACAGAAATAGTTATTCTATTCAGCACAATTCTTTTCTCAGCCATTTAAAGAAATCATAATCTAACACATACCTAGCTAGATTACTTACTAAAAGTTCTAAGACTCCATTCCTGTTCTGTCTCTGGCAAGAGCAGCACACAGACAGACCCTTTGTCCCTCTCCCTCCTCCCAGCTTTTGAAAGTATCTTGTCTCCTCATTGGTCATTTTGGTCAGGTGCCAGCGAGGTTACCTTTAGCTTCTTAACCCCTTACAGGTGAGAGGAGCTTTCCCCTGGCCAGGAGGGATTTCAAAGGGGTTTACCCTTCCCTTTATATTTATGACAGCTGTGAAAAGTGCAAGACTGAGAACCATGGATATGGTCTTTTGGTTATTCATAGAGTAGATATCTGGCAGGAACACATCAAGCTTCTTCATGTGCCGACTCATTGTGCCTCAACTGTGTTCTCATCTGGAGGGTAGACTAACATTTAGACTCCATGCCCGCTCAGTCTGGTCTCTCTGATAAGATTGCCAACAAGGGTGACAATTAGTACTAACCAAAGGGTGTTTTTGTTTTTGCAGTATAGAGACACATCCATTAACTACTGTACTAAGAACACCAACTATTCCGTATACTACCAAAGACATATCCTGGCATTGCTCATTAACAGCTTGGCTGAGACGGCTGTAAATCAGAGACCAAGAGGTGAAAGGCTCTGATTCTCATTGCTAGTCTTATATAGCATATAGTCTTCCTTTAAAATTTATAAATATATAATATTACAAAATATCCTCACTATATTCAGATAATCCCAGGGTAGGGGTACATTGATAGAAACTTTCCACTGATTTGATTCCAAAAATTATTCTTTCACTTTTCACAAAGCCTCATCTTTTTTCACTGCAAATGGAACTAAAACAAGAATGGGACTAAAACATGAATTAGACATGGGCAAACAGATTCTGGAAACTTAAGAAATGATTGAAATATCACTCCAGTTCATAAAAAGAACCAGAACCCAAACTCCAACCTTTTCTTAAGTTTCTTAAATTTCATCATTGCAGACATGGTGGATGTCATCTTCTTCCTAATTTCTGACCGAACCCTCTGTTTTTGCCGATATCTATCTCAGGACATGACTGTCTCTGCTACGTCAGCCCCAGTGTTACAAACTTAGTTGGATTTGTCCAGTGCCCCAAAGCTCACAGATTGGTTCTGGAGCAGCTTCATTTTACCTTAAATCCTTGTACTGGAACAGGTTTTGATTTAAATCTGAGCAGGGACAAGTTAAAGGATGGGATATTTGATGCACTGGATGAGGTATACGACATGTTGTGGTATACATTTTAGGACTCATGGATCTTGAAAGGTGTGTTGTGGGCCGTGTTGATCATTGCAGCAGTGGACCTATGTCTGAACGTTTTGCATCTGTTATTTTGGCAGGGTCTGGTGCTGCTCTGAGTTGGTAAGTCCTGGTCTATAGGTACCATCCTTCTGATTATGAGCTTGGTGAGCTTTGGTGGTTGTTTGAAGGCCAGAAGAGGGGGTTCGGGAAAGATTTATTTCAGGACATGGTCCCCATCAAGTATGAGTTGTAATTATTTGATGATACCTCATGAGAGTTCCAGTGTGGGGTGGTAAGTGACAGCTAAGGATGTACAGTCAATGGTTTAGGTTTTTTTTCTGTATTGAAGCAGGTTCTCTTGAGGTGTTTATATAACCTATTCCATGAGGCAATCTACTTCTCTGGTGGAGTGTCCTTGTTTGGTGAAGGTTGTTTTAAGTGTGTTAAGGTGTGTATCCCAGGCTTTCAACTTGGAGCATATTCTGTGGTATCTGATTGCCTGGCTGTAGATAACAGATTTCTTGGTGTGTCTGGGGTGGTTATTGGATCTTTGGAGGTAAGTCTGGTGATCTATGGGCTTCTTGTGTATAGTTTTCTGTAGCTTTCCATTGCAGACGCTGATCATGGTGTCCTGGAAGTTGATGCTGATATGGGAGTGTTCTAGAGAGAATGAAGGATGGGTGGTGGTTGGTGAAGTTGTGGTGAAAATCTCTGAGGGAGTTTAGGTCATCTGTCCAGATGATGAAAATATCATTGATGTATATCAGGTATTTCATTGGTTTGTGGTGCATATTTTCAGAAATTCTTCCTTGACGTGACCTAGAAGAGGCTGGCATATTGGGGAACCATCCTACTATTCATGGCTGTTCCCGTGGTTTGGAAAAAAGTGCTTGTTGAATGTGAAGTTCTTAAGGGTGAGGATGAAATGGATGATTTCGATGTGTTTTGGGTGGATATCTGAGTGTCGTTCATTGTTGTGAAGATATCTGACGCAGGCAGAGAGGCCGTCATGGTGAGGGATGTTGGTAGATGGGAGGTGACATCCATGGTGGCAAGTATGATGTTCTGAGGGAGTTTGTTAATGTGTGAAGTTTCTGGATGAAGTTGCTTGTGTCTTGGAGAAAACTTGCCCTTTTTGTGGTGAGTGTTTTGAGGATGATTTCTGTGAGTTCTCATATTCATAAGCATGCTGTGGCCAGATATGATGGGTCTGCCTGGTTTCCCTAATTTGTGTATCTTGGAGAAACATTTAGAAGTTCCCTGGGGTAGGTTCATGGGGGAGGAGGTTGTAGAGTTTCTCTTGGAGTTGTCTGGGGAAAGATTTGACGATATCCTTAAATTCCTTTGTGGTATGGGGGTCTTTTTTGAATTCCTTATAGGAGGGTGGTGTTGGAGATTTGTCAGTTGGCCTCATTGATTTACTCATCATGGCTGAGGACTATGAGGGCATTCACTTTGTTTGCTGCTCTGCTCGCTGTATGTTGGCTGGATTTCAGGGGCTGTATAGCGGACCTCTTGGCTGTGGAGAGATTGTGGTGGATATGATGTTTCAGGATTCCACAGTCTTTTGTGATGTAAAGATCAAGTGTGTCATTTCCTTCACTGATGGGTGTCCAGTCAGATAATTCTTTTTTCTTATGACTGTCGGTGGGGACATGGTAGTTCTGGTTGATGTCAACTGTGTTGTGAAGTAATTCTTTGAGACAGTCAGTGAAAGAATTCTTCCAGTTCTCTACATGTCAGTATGATATCAGTTTCAGTGGTGGGAGAGAAGTTCAATCTGTTGGAGAATACAGGTAATTCAGTTCCAGTTAGGGTAGTTGTGATAGGTTGATGATTTTGGGGTGTTGTGTAGCGTCTGTGTGGTAGGTCCTGGTGCCCTGGTTTATCCTGGAGGTGAAGTTCTGTGGGTTGTGGCGTTGTTGTTGTTATAGATGGTTCCACTTTTGTTTTGGTGTTGCATGGCCGTCACCAGGATTTTTTTGATAGTTGTTTTGGGTTTCTTGAATGATCTCCAGGTAGGTTTCATGACTTTTCCCTTCCACTGTATGGGAGCATGTGATGATTTCTCGTTTGAGGTGGTCCCTTCCAGAACATGTGAGGTGCAGGAGATTGCACCTCAGTTTTTCTGAAATCCTTTTGCAGAGCTGTTCAGAGTTGTATGTGGTTGTCAGAGGGTTATAGATGGAAGTTCTCTGGGGATGTCGTTTTGTTTCTTGCATTTGCTCAGGAAGTAGACGTTGCTGTTAAGTTTGTCTTCCATCTTCTTCGTGTTGTGGAGTTTCCATGTCAGATGGCAAAATATATCTTCCATTGTTGTTTGCTGTGTTGTTGTAGCCGTGTTGGTTACAGGATATGAGAGGGACAAAGTGCGTAAAGTAATGTCTTAAATACTTCACTTAGTTTGGTGGTTGGAGGTGTTGTTCCAAAACTGTGCAGGAGCATGATGCTAATTTCCTACTTGGTCTCCTTACGCAGCATCAGAATGTCAAAGTTTATATAGGAACAGGATGGAAACACATTCCAGAATGCAATGCCTGGGTATGGTTACCCCAAGTGTAAAATATAATGGAGGTTTTTTTTATAATATGTAAAGAGTCTGGGTCAGTAGTTGTCATACACAGGTTTGCATACTGTAAACCCATATTACAACAGAAGAAAGTTTCAGTACAGCTCTCCCATCTATCCATAAAGAAAGGTGATCCACCTGGACTGAGAACACACAATCTAAGGGACAATTTCTGCTACCTTTATTCAGGTTGTTTAGCACTTTATCACACAAGTTACCCCATAGAAATAGATCTATCTGTGTCTATATGTACTGAACACAATGGAAATTTAGTGGATTAGATTACTGTTAAATGACCTCACTTACGTGATAAACTGAATTACATTACTTTAACTCTGCAACTATTTGACAAGCACATTTAAATGTAGGAGACCCTGGGGTGAAATCAGTGGAGTTAGTTGCTGAGTAAGGTATTACTCCACAGGAATAAAGATGGCTGAATCTAGCTTTGGTCTTGTCATTTGTTAAAATGAGAAAATGTATATGGTTTAAGGTAGAGGTATATGGATGTGTGTGCAGGCACATGTAGCGTGGGGGGGGGAAAGCAAGCAAGAGTTTGATAAGCTGTAACTGTTCATGAATACAATAAGATTCACAATGAAGTTTGCATGCTCTTATACTGTAATGATTGTCATTTTAAAACTAGCTTTTTGCCTTCGAGCTATCGGGGTAAAGACCTGCAGGAAAACTACTGTCGGAATCCCCGAGGGGAAGAAGGAGGGCCTTGGTGTTTTACAAGCAATCCAGAGATACGCCATGAAGTCTGTGACATTCCTCTCTGTTCAGAAGGTAACATGACACAGTTGATACCATAGAAAAGTCTCTTCTGCCCTGGAAGCAAGTGTGTAACTGTTATTAGAGAGTATTTATATATTGGCTTTGAACAAAGAACGGCTCAATTCTTAGTAAGAATGATTTAGCAAGAGATGTTTGAGTAGTGATATGCTTATCACACAAATTAGGTAATTTGAATAGCTCTCTAGTCCACTACAGATCAGCTAACAATTTCTGTTGTGTTCAGTACATTATGAAAGCACCCGTTGCAGGTCCATAGTTAATGTCAAGTTGACTTTAGCACTTTATATGTAGCTAGATAATGGATTTGAGGATGAATTCTGAAAATAAATTTTTGTTTCACCTTTCAAATGATGCTCATGTGACAATCTGTAAGGAACATTGGTCAGTGTAATTGCTGTAGAACATTCTGATTGGGTGCCTTCCAATTTAAACTGATATTTATAAATAAGAACATAAGAATAGCTATGCTGGGTAAGACTGATGATTCATCCTGTCTTCTGACAGTGGCCTGTGCCACTGAATGAACAGAACAAGGAAATTTTGAGTGATCCGTCCCCTGTTGTCCAGTCCCAGCTTCCATCAGTTGGAGGTGAAGGGACACCCTGAGTGTGGTGTTGCATTTCTGACCATTTTGGCTAGTAGCCATTGATGGACCTGTCCTCCATTAGCTTATCTAATTCTCTTATGAACCCAGTTACACTTTTGGCCTTCACAACATCCCCTTGGAGCAAGTTCCACAGGTTGACTGTGTGTTGTGTGAAGAAATACTTCCAGTAAACCTGCTGCCTATTAACTTCATTCTGTCACTCCTAGTTCTTGTGTTATGTGAAGGGGTAAATAACGCTTCCCTATTCATTTTCCCCACACTATTCATTATTTTATAGTCCTTTATCATATCCCCCATTAGTCGTCTCTTTTCTAAGATGAACAGTCCCAATCTTTTTATTCTCTCCTCATATGGAAGCTGTTCCTTTCCTCTTGTAGTGATTTATTGGTTTTGATTTTTATAGTATTAAATCTCATGCCTTCCCTTCGGCACTTCACAAAATGCTGTCAATGATATTCAATGTATCGATTCTAAGTGTTGGGCTCAGCAGTTCCACAGTTCAGGAATATATTAATATGACTGCCTTATTTACCTCAAATCCAAGCCCCTCTATACTGCTAATCAGCCCATTCCCTTCTTTTACCGCTGGCATTTGGAGTAAGCTTTACGGTATGCTAGGAAGGCAAACAAATCCAGGCTCTGTTGGACCAAGAACCAAAATTTACAGCCTGAATCTAAATTACGCTCCAGCCGGGATTAGACCTGCAGCTGAATGCAGGATCAAGGGCTTCCTGGTTGATAATGGAGGGAGGGATAGCTCAGTGGTTTGAGCATCGGCTTGTTAAACCAAGGGTTGTCAGTTCAATCCTTGAGGGGGATCTGGGGCAAAAATTGGGGATTGGTCCTGGTTGGACTAGATGACCTCCTGAGGTCCCTTCCAACCCTGATATTCTATGATTTGACTGAAGAATTCATTCTCTAACTGCCTAAATTATCATTTTCTAAGGCTTGGTCTACGCTAGAAAATTAGGTTAATTTAGCTACAGTGATCAGGGATGTGGATTTTCCAGGGTGAGTGGCATAGTTAAACTGACCCAAGTCCCCGAGTATACAGTGCTAGGCTGACAGAAGAATTCTTCCATCAACCTAGCTACTGCGTCTTGGAGAGGTGGATTACCTTTGCCAATGGGAGAATCCCTCCTGTCAGCGTAGGTAATGTCTACACGGAAGCAGTACAGCAGCTCAGCTGCAGCAGCGCAGCTATGCCACTGTAATGTTTTTAGGGGTAGACACGCCCTAAGTGATTTTCACATTTAAATGTAAACGTATATTTATATGTAAATGTAATGTATATATAAATTAGTTATCCCTTTGTGACCCAAAGTTCAGGGCGCTGGGGATATTTCAGTTGGGAGCAGAAATTGATGATGGAGTCTGATACATTCTTTGATGAAGTCTTGTTTATTTATAAGGAATGTACATTATCCTGCTTCTCTGAATGCAGGAGGAACCAACTGCAATAGGACCACGTGCTCAGAGTCTAACTGATCACCATATTGGGGGTCAGGAAGGAATTTTCCCCTGGGTCAGCTTGTCAGAGACCCGGGAGTTTTTTATGCCTTCCTTGGCAGCATGGGGCATAGGCCACTTGCCAGGTTTAAACTAGTGTAAATAGCGGATTCTCTGTAACATCAAGTCTTAAAATCATGATTTGAGGACTTCAGTAACTCAGCCAGAGGTTAGGGGTTTATTACAGGAATGGGTGGGTGAGGTTCTGTGGGCCGCAATGTGCAGGAGGTTAGACTAGATGGTCATGATGGTCCCTTCTAGCCTTAAAGTCTATGAATCTATGAGGAGTGGTTTCTTAGCTTACTGGCCCAGGCATCTTTTAAGCAGGCACGCCTGACCCAGATCATTCCCACATTTCTCTTAGGGTCACCCTGTGTTTACAGATTTCAGCTTTGTTTTCTTCAGGCTGTCTCTGTTTCTCCCTGGTTCTGTGTTCTGCCTCTACCGGCTCACCCATAGACTTACCAAAACATACTCAGTACAAACCCTTCCACACAATCCAAAACTCCTGATTGAGTTCACATAACCCTTGTGCCTTAAGTGGGTGATTGTGATTAATGTATCCTTATTGTTATGCTAATTAATGGATACATTCACACCTGTTAATCTCAATGAGGTTTTAACTCTATCCATAACCAGGTTTCATCACAACTAATGTGCATGTGTACATATATTTATAAATATATATTTATATAATTGGCACACAAGCAAGTATCACTTATTTAATCAATAGTAACATTTCCTGCTTGGTGTGTGCTTTAGATCTAGATCTTTGTTTAACACTCAGACTAATTTCTATAAAGGCCCAAGAAAGAAGCTGGGTATGTAAATGCCTTAAATACTTCCATCCAGATGCATCCAAAGTAACTTGATGGTGAACTAATCTGGCACCAAATCTAAACATCTGACAAGATCTTAAAAGGAACCCACAGTGAGACGTTTTTCTGAAGGGCATTTCTTACACCTGTGTGAAATTGATGATCTAGGAAGTATTATTTTTATAATGTTATAATTCTCTGTGCAGGACAGCTTGAGTTTATGACAGCAATTTCTTTCTACTCGTGTTATGAGCTACTAATACACTATTTTTTGTTTTCAGTTGAATGCATGACCTGCAATGGAGAAAGTTACAGAGGGCCAATGGATCACACTGAATCAGGCAAGGAATGCCAGCGCTGGGACCTTCAGAGACCACACAGGCACAAATTCAGACCAGAGAGGTAAAATACTACTTCACTGTTTTTTTTTTTAAATTACACATATTCTGGTACTCATTAGGCCTAACCTCAGCTGGTTTAAATCAGCTGCATTGAACTTTATGGAGATATGCTATGTGAATTTACATGGTCTGAGGAGATATGTATGTCTGTATACACAGAGCAAGTGACGTCACTAGAAAAAACCCTAATATCATAACAACAAAATAAATAATAATAATAATTACTAGTAGCAGTAATACTTTACACCTACCAAAGATCTCAAAGCCCTTTAAAAATACTGATGAAATTAGCTTTCAACATTAATAATTTACAATAGATCCATTTACTTCAATAATGAATAGCTAGACCCTATGCAATTATCAGTCTTATGTTGCATAAGGTGTTAAATTATCCAGTTTATGTTGCATAAGGTGTTAAAAAATCAACACTGATTTTCACCCTGGAAAAGCAACTGTGAGTGGCTGAATTCAGCATTTTATGATAATAGATTTATGTTTTGGACAATAACTTGATGAACTATAGATATAATGCCAAAAAAATGAGTTAGAAATAGCATTAAAAAACTGCAGACAAGAAAGGTTTTATTCTAGTGGGTGAAATTCACCAAAGTGCAGACAACCATCTGCAACATTTACACTCCCTTCTGGAGAGGCTGTGTGGGTGGGTTTAGGCCACACATAAAGGCCTTTGAACCCTTACTGCATTAGGGAGGGGGAATCTTGCATGGGCTTATACTGAAACAAGCTTTTCTGAAAAAAATTGATTTCAATTAGGCTCATTTATAAAATAGGTAAAATAATGCTAACCTACCTCACAAAAATGTTGTTGGGATTAATTCATATCTGAAAATACGTATCTGAGATCTTCCTCTGAATGTGTACATATAAACTACAAAGTATTAATAATGAAATATATTTATTATGCTTTAAAATAAGGTATGGGTAGCTTTAGGCTATGTCTGCACTACAGCTTATGTCAGCATAATTTATGTTGCTCAGGGGTGTGAATAAACGAAAGCTACCCGGGGGGAAAAAAGTCTGAGACCTGCTCTGCATTACAGTCAGTTCGATGTAAGGCACTAAATGTAGTTCCCACCGATGTAACTCACCCACTTTACTGACTTCATAACTCCACCTCTACAAGAGATGTACCACTTAGGTCTATGTAATTAGACTGACGCAGTGTCAGTGTGGACACTATTGCTTACACTGAGTGTTGCTGCCTTTCAGAAGCCATCCCACAGTGTCCCATGCTGGCAATTAAATCAGTGCAAGTGCTCCTGTTGAGGATAAGCACCACTGACACAAGGAGCATAGCATGGACATGCAAAACCAATTTATTTAATGTAGTGGCTGTATGTCAATGTAACTTAGGTCAACTTAATTTTGTAGTGTAGACTTGCCCTAAGGGTGACATCTTGGCATCACTGATGTCCATGGAAATTTTGTCATTGATTTCAGTGGAAATCCTATTGATTTCATAGGATTTCATTCTGGTGCTTGAATCCTGCATTGTGCTCTGCACAGACACACTGTTGCACCTTCATGGAATCCCATTGAGGTTGATGTGGCTTGGTGTTGAACATATTTATGAACAGTAAAAGCTTTAGCCCCCACAAAACACCATTCAATTTTTTTTTTAAGTGTGACAAATCAGAAGGCCAAATTAATCACTGGGGTAATTTAATTTACAACAGTATACTCATGCCAGGGATGCATTTGGGATGTAAATTTCAACATGAATAAATAAATAATGATCGTCCATTGGTGTTAAAGAGCAATCTTGGTCTATTTGAAAAAAAATATGTAATATTCAGAACTTCAGTGGCTAACTCTCTTCAAACCTAGAAGTGGACGTGTCTCTGACATTGGAGAAGTGTCTTGTTGCTTTCTTAGCCATTGAAGTCAAGGTTTCTACTGCTGCTTCAGGGGTAGGATGGGGTAAAACAAATAATAAACCTAACAAAAATCACTAAGGAGGTGTAACAGGGATCTGAAAGATCTCAGGAACCCTTAGGATCCTCCTCTGATCCAAGCAGCAGACTATGGCTCTGGGTATGTTTGGGGGAAAGAGACCTGGAGACTGGACTAACTCTTACAGGGCCATTACATAATTCTCAGTGACATAAATCTGAGATTGGGTGGGCCAGATTGCAACCCCATCATCCAGTTTATCCCTGCTAGTTGTGGCTACCTGTGGGGGAAGGGACACTAAATGGTCTTCTGCTGTAGGGACTAAAGTAGCTACTAGCTGACTCCCAGGGATGTAGAAAGAAGCAAGCAGATTTGAGAACACTAGGCAAAATCAGTAACTGGGCAGGACAATTTTTTCCCTACCCACTCTCTCTGTATATGAGCAAATGAGGGAGGTAAACTGGAGCTCTTCTGTTCCCCAAGGTTAGAGGAAGTCAAAAAGGGCTTCTTTCCCTGCTGCCCCACCCTATTCACGATACTCAGACTAGCTTTGTACCCTAATATCCTCCTGCAACCAAGGTCATCTGTAGTCCTTGCAGGGAGCAGATCCCTAAGAATCTATATATCTATTTATCTATAATAGACGTTGAGAATAGTCAGTGGATAGTGCTGGAAATTTCCCTGTATATCTGTCTATATAGCATGATCCTGCAAGATGCTGAGCACTCTGGTGATGACTGTTAAGATCAAATGATTCAACTGAAGTTAAGTCTGTGCCTAAGTGTCTTGCTGGATTGGGACCAGAGTGCTCAGCATCTTGCAGGATTGAGCCTTTAATGTACAGTTACATGATGGCCTTTAGGGGAAATGGTTCTGATGATCTGACCCCCTTATCCTGTCCCCATCCCAGGGACTGATCAGTTGTAGGGGTCAGAGGAAGGTCCTGGGAGATATCAGGGTACTTTTAAACTTCATCCCCTCTCCCAGTTTAGAACTTAGTAATTGTCTTGAAGCATTAATGAGTATTGTCAAGCACAGTTGCTACTGCGGATAAAGGGCTCTCATGTTGCCATAGCCCGTCTCCTCGCCCCATTCTGCAGGGTTCAATGAAAGTAATGATTGAACCCTCTTTCAAATTGTCTCCCAACCCCATCTTTCAAACCCTGCTGTAGCAGAGGGAGTGTGATTTGTCCCAAGGAAGGCAGGATTGTACAAACAGACTTTGGGATGAGTGTATGGTGGGTAGAGAACCCCATCGGCACACCTTTGTAAATCACATGTAAATCATGTGCTCATGAGAAGCACATCTGCTTGCAGTTGTGGGAAGGTCTCAGGTTCATAGGTAGTTAACATTTTTGTCCCCTTAAATAAGTTCAAGTTTAATTGGTGAGGCCTCATCTGGAGTACTGTGTCCAGTTTTGGGCCCCACACTACAAGAAGGATGTGGAAAAATTGGAGAGAGTCCAGCGGAGGGCAACAAAAATGATTAGGGGACTGGAACACATGACTTATGAGGAGAGGCTGAGGGAACTGGGATTGTTTAGTCTACAGAAGAGAAGAATGAGGGGAGATTTGATAGCTCCTTTCAACTACCTGAAAGGTGGTTCCAAAGAGGATGGCTCTAGACTGTTCTCAATGGTAGCAGATGACAGAACGAGGAGTAATGGTCTCAAGTTGCAGTGGGGGAGGTTTAGATTGGATATTAGGAAAAACTTTTTCACTAAGAGGGTGGTGAAACACTGGAATGCGTTACCTACGGAAGTGGTAGAATCTCCTTCCTTAGAGGTTTTTAAGGTCAGGCTTGACAAAGCCCTGGCTGGGATGATTTAACTGGGATTTGGTCCTGCTTCGAGCAGGGGGTTGGACTAGATGACCTTCTGGGGTCCCTTCCAACCCTTATATTCTATGATTCTATGATTCTATGATTCTATCTCCTTCCTTAGACGTTTTTAAGGTCAGGCTTGACAAAGCCCTGGCTGGGATGATTTAATTGGGGATCAGTCCTGCTTTGAGCAGGAGGTTGGACTAGATGACCTCCTGAGGTCCCTTCCAACCCTGATATTCTATGATTCTATGAAGTTTTCACAGTAGTCCCTTGGGCAAGCCTACTTTTTGTTCTCTTTCAAACATGCTGCAAAAAACCTGCAAAACCAAAGAACCAAAGCATTTTGCATTTATTGGCAATAAGTACATTTTACTTTTATCCCCACGTTCGGAAGTTTGTGGCTGTTACTTATGACCATTTAGATAAAGTAAGTCTCCTTATTATGCTCCCCCCTCTTGTCTGTTTAACAGAGGCGAGACAAACATGGAAACAATTAAAATAACACAACAGTTTCAAACCTTAACAAGATAAAGGGAGAGGGAAGTTTTAAATATTTTTTGCAGTGCCGGAAATGAGGGCATGACCTAGAACAAGCTGTGTTACCAAAATGGAGCTATCATTAGTAACAAAGCAATTGAAAATAGCTTCCAGTTTGAACCCAGGGTTGTTGCACTAGAGAACCTGTTTTCTTAATGAGTCTGGCATGCCAGGCAGTGTTTATATAATCCACACTTAATTTGGCTGTTTGGAAAAAAAAAAATGAGGCTTGTGTGTCTGTCAAGGGATGGTCATGCTCTACAGTGGAGTGAAGCGATTAGCTGAGTTACCCCATCTGGTGTCCTGCATGTTACCACAGCTGAGTCTCCCTGTCCAAGGGCCTGATTCTGCTCAGTGCTTCCTAGGAGGTTTCACCCTCATTTTCCTCTATGGGAGTAGAGGGAATTCCCCAACCCCCATGATCAGGTCCCAAGCCAGCAGGCACTGTATCAAACTTGTCTCAGCTGGAATTGGTTCTTGACACGTCTTGTGCATGCCTGTATAGTGTTGCCAGCCAGACGTGCTGAACACATTTGTTGGTGTGGTTTGCAGATATCCTGACAAGGGCTTTGATGATAATTACTGCCGCAATCCCGATGGCAAGCCGAGACCGTGGTGCTACACTCTTGACCCTGATACCCCGTGGGAGTTCTGTGCAATTAAAACGTGTGGTGAGTTAAAGCAAAAATTTATTGCTTCCTTTTCCTTTCCCAAATCTGGACTCAAACAGTCTGTTCTAAGTGGGTGGGGAATATAACTGTTATTGTTCATTCATTGTGCTTTGCTCAATTTTAAAACAGAGTAAGCAAAGAACAGCCCTTACAATCTCTTTAATCTCTTTTCATAAGACATAATCAGCAATGCATTATTTAGCACTTTTTATAGTTATTGTATTATACACGTCAGCATGCCACACTCCCGTCTCTTCCACAAACACAGACTGCACTAAGATGTCTTCCTTGTAAACACCACTGTGCAGTTTATTTACAGTGTTTTAATCCTTCCACCAATCCATAGCAGTGTCTCCATACCTCTTGACACTGTATCTTAAACTTTCTAACCCCTTCTCCCAAATAGAGGAGGGGGAATAAGGTGACTCTAATCAGAGGGACCCCTTGGTCAAGCTCGCCTAGCTTTCTGTTCCTCTCCTTTTTTCCCCTTGAGCATGCATTCGTATGTCCGTTTATATAGCTTCCCTGCTAATGGGCTAGTTGGCTCATTCACTCACTAGCCCCAATCTGGCCTGGTAATCAGGTACACCTTGTCCAATTAGGCATTCTCCAGGTGAATCTAATTAATAATAATAATGGTGCCTAGAGTGCTGGCTCAAGTGCTAGACCTCATGACTCTGTCACATGTCTCCTCCCTTTTTCCAGTGGAAAGATACGTCTTCTTCCTCACTTTCCCTCCTTTTCTAGAGGTACTACTAGGCCTCTGCCCCTCCTTGCCCTAAGGGTGTTTATCTTGGATCTTGTTATAAGGTCCATCCATTCTCCACCCACAAGAATCAAGTTTGGTGGGTAAGGGTTGTCCCCATAATTCTGTCTCTGCTGACAGGTTGTCACACCAAGGGCAGTCTGTTGGGTTGTGCTCACAAGAAAACCAAAATTAAAAGAACACTAAGGTTTCAAAATCGAGCACAGAGTAATTAGGAAATGCCAAAATTAAGGTTGTCTATGCAATCTTAATTCCACCCCTTTGGGTGTATGTATTATGATACAGACTTCAATTACATAATCATACACATTTCTAAACAGGTCTCCTGCCACATTCATTGTTCAGGATGGATAGTGCTCACTGAATGAGCAGCTATTCAATATTTTTATCCTTGTTCAATATGTAATCTCCTGGCTTGCTTACTGGACACTATTCAAACCCTCCACTGAAGACAGAATTATTCATTTCCTTATGGGATTTCTATAGTATTCATCACTATAGTATCTGAGTGCTTCATAAACATGAATAAATTTATTTTCACAATGTACTTGTGAAATAAGGGGTGCTATTATTCTCCATTTTACTGATGGGGATCTGAGGCACAGAGAGATTTAAATGAAGTGTCTACTAATTCTGAGTGCCAGTTTGAGCTGATTTTTAGTGTCCTTAGTATTATATAGCACTTTATATTTTCAAAATACAGCTCCCACTGACTTGTGTTGCAGTCGTGAGTGCTCAGCACTTCTGCAAATCAGGTGTCTCAAGTTGGGCACCCAGCGAATAAGGAACACATAATTAGTGGCCACTTGTGAAAAGTGTATATAAGTGACTTGCCTAGCATCACATAGGAAATCTGTGGCAGATGCAGAGATGGAATCCCCCTGTCCAGGGCAGCATTCAACTGCTTAAACCATGAGACAATCCTTTCTCTTCTTGCAACCCTGCCTCCTTCATTACACACCTTTCAACTTCAGCAGCAAATGAAGCAGGGATCCTGCAGACAGCACTCTTTCACTACACAACCCTGAGGCATCCCCACAGCAGGTCCATCCTGTGCACTGAATGAGACACGAGTCCTTTGGAAAAAATGGAACGGAATCACATAGTTAAGGGCTGTGCCATAATGCACATGCACAAGCGACGAAATTAAAGTCATACAGGGAACTTCAATTTTGGCATTTCCTGGCATTTAGCTGGACTTTGCTATCTTACCATCGTTTTTAACATAGTTTTTTTCTGTGTAAGGATATATGGACTTATGTCTTGAGAGCTCTTTATGTGCAGTACTATTCTTCAGAGAGATTGTGGCTTTGGTAAGGTTTCATGGTTATAAATGATATCAGAATTTGGCACAGTTAGTTTTAAAGGTTAACTGATGCTGTTAAAAACCCATATCCATGCGGAAGCTGAATTTATTTATTTGTGGATTTAAAAAAAGAAAAGAAAAGAAAAGAAAAATAGTTGAGTGAACCTTTATGATTGTTTATTTTAATTGTTGTAGTCCTCTGCAATTTTGGTTTTGACTGAGACCAGAAACAGAAGGGGGGGGGGCGCTCTTGTGGTATTTTCAACTAGCCCAAAATGAGAGATAACTGGAAATTGTATGAAAAATATATTCTTCCAGTTTTCTAGCCCCTCACTGGTCAAAGTATGGATAAAACATCTGGGGCCACATTCTGCTTTGCACCCTTGTATAGTGTCCAAGAGGCTGCACACAGTGTAAAAGCAGAATTTATCTCCTTACCTTTTGGGTTCTTATCCAATTTAAACTTCTCAATGTTTTCAAATTTTGCCCATCAATACTTCTGAACAGTCCATAGTCACTTGTACTGGTTTTATGTTACTGTAACCTTTTTACGCATGACTCACTTCTCATTACCCTGTATTTATGCTGGTGTAATTCTGTTGACTTCCGTGATGTTACTCCTGATTTACTCCTTGATGTAGAACCTCACTTTGAGCCTAATTCTGCTTTCACATATATCAGCACCAGTCTAGAATAATTCCATTAAAGTCAGAGGAGTTACATCACTGTAAAAGTGGTGTAAAGGAGAGGACAATTTGCCATGCTGTATGATGTCTATAAAGGGAGTGTACAGAGCAGTGGCAACTTACTTAGAAGTGACCCTGCTGCCTTATGTGATCAAAAATAGTGGCTTCAAAAATCTATACATCAGTTCATGTGTGACCTTGTGCCAAAAGATTTCCTGTGAACTTCCCCTGTGAACTACAAGCAGCTTATTCTATATATTGGTATCTGGACTTTTTGCTACTCGAGCGTCCGACTTTGGCCTCTAAGAACAACTGGGAAGTTATTAAGCCAAAGACATCATCTAGTTTGGACCTAGTTTTTGTCTCAAATATAAAACAGTTGAGTCTATACACCTAGTTTAAAGATTGTGAAGAGCAATTTACTATTCGTTTCTTTAGTCTTTATTTTTTATTGGGTAATTCTTCCCACAACCATTGCTGATTAGCCATGGGTGCCCCTGGAAAAATGGGCGCCCCCAATCTGTTCCGCCCGCCCGGTGCTCCTGCCAGAGATTGGGGGAGCACCAGGTGGGTGGGGAAGGGCAAGCCCCTGCGCCCCGACCCCACACCGTGGCAGGAGCACTGGGCGGATGGAGCAGGGCAAGCTCTTGCTCCCCAACCCTGCTCTCTGGCAGGAGTGCTGGGGGGGCTTGAAGGGGATGGCAGGCAGAAGGGGTGAGGAGGGGCCCCCATGTGCTCTGGCTCAGGGCCCCACAAACCCCTAATCCAGCTCTGTCCACAACTACTTTCAATATTCAATAAAATACACATGATCAGTCTCTGTTGTAACATATCCATATACTTTTTTCCGGTAGTGGAGATTTTATTACTAAAAAATTTGTTTAAGTTATAATTTCTGACAGTTTTTACAAATGCAACTTTTATAAATGTTTATCCTTTGGCATTTCCCAAGTTGATGTGTCAGTGCTCTGAAGATTCACATCTGGCGTTGGTGGTTACATAAGCTTAACAACCAATGTGACTCTTAACATTCACAGTCTGATCCAATTTTTCAAAAGACATATGCTAGGGGATCTTTTCCAAACTGTAGTAATGGCTCCTACTCCCCCAGCAGTCAAGATTATGTTAGAGTCTTGAAGAAATGCAATCCCAGTACAGCCCTTCTAAAAATAAGTGGCCTACATTGATGATCCTGAGCACTTTGCTCTTGATATTGTGATGAAGTTGGGCTCTCTTCATTGGGTACACAGTCTTCTTTTTGATCTTCATTTGACATCAGGGGAAATTCCACACTCGAAACTAAATTTTCTTTATAGTAAATGATAGTGTTCTGTGTAAGGGTGAATATGTAAAGGATATATCCACCATACAAAAGTTCTTTCAATAATTTGCCTGATTCTGTTTCACATTAGTAATCAGACAATAGTGATGATGATGATACTATCAAGTAGTGTTCTAATTTTACAGCAGAAAAAACCCTCCACTTTTTAAAAATCTTCAAAACCTGAATAAAACTCAGGTAAATGAGGTTTTTTCCATTAAATGATGATGGATGTTTTAGTGCAGTGGTTTTCAAACTGGGATGCGCGTACCCCTAGGGGTATGTGAGCTCTCATCAGAGGGGATATGAGAAAAATCCTATCATGGCCGACAACACATGTATTTAGTAAGACTTGGCAATCTAATCAAGTTGAATCTCCTTTCAATTAAAACTGCAGCAGCGCTGGTGTGCCTCAGAATCAGGGGGTTTCAAACCTTGGGGTGTGCCCAGTGGTGAGCTGGAGCCGGTTCACACCAGTTCGCGTGAATCGGTTGTTAAATTTCGAAGCAGTTTTAGAACCGGTTGTTAACCCGCTTCCCTGCAGGGGGCGCTGAGGGTTTGATGGGCTCCGGCCGGGAAAGGATGTAATTCCTCCTCCGGCCACCGGGGGCGCTGTGCTGCGGGAGCCATGTGGGCTGCCGCCTGGCCCTGGGCACGAGCCCTGTTGCTGCTGCTGCTCCCCTGGCCCTGGGGCTCCCGCTGCTGCCTGGTGGGTCCCCGGCTGCTCTGCTGGGCCTGGGCTGCGTCCTGCTGCTCTCCCTGTGAGCACCCACCACCCTGCCCACAGCCAGCCCCTGTCTCCAGCCACCCCCGCACCCGCTCCCTGCAGCCAGCCCTTCCGCCACCCCTGCCCTGCCTGCAGCCAGCCCCTACCGCACCTCCAGCACCCCCTGCCCGCAGCCAGCCCCTGTCTCCAGCCAC